GCAAGTTTTAGCGAAAATTCATGGACTCGGAAGCCAGGAGAGTTAAGAGGTGGAAATTGCAGGATAATGTTTCCTGCTTAAGCAGGGGCTTCACAAGCTCGAGTTCAGTTCCTAAGTATGCCCGAGGTCTCACGTACGACCCGTGGAAGTTTTGTCTCAGAGATCATTCGAAAGCCAGAAAATTAGGAGATTGGAATTTTGAAAGGATATTCATCCTTCGAGGTTTCAAATTCATCTTTTACGTACCGGTACGTGAAATTTTTAACTATTTTTCAACATTAACAAGCAATTTTTCGGTGGACGAAATTACACAAAACACTTGATCGCACCGGCTGTTCTGGTGCGCTCTGATTCTTATTTTAGGTAAGCTTCTGGTGTCGCGTTCATGATTGCTAAGTTCGTCTCAGCGTGAAGTTTCAGGCTATTCTTGAGAAACTCACAGTGGTACTCTTCCCCATCAACCCAGTCCTTGCTCCGAATTCAGGCAGGTCCCAGCTCCTTTGCCGCCAGTAACCAACTTCCTTCCGTCCGTTACGACACCAAGACCTAAACCACTACTCCCGGCTTGTACGCCTTTCCGCCCTCCTTTCCTGCAGTGCTGAAGCTGTCATCTCCAGTCTTTGCAACTTGTCTCGTGATCCGACGAGCCGAGTTTTAATAATTGTCTCAAATCTGCATCGGACATGTTAGTGTTTGAGGTATTGTATTAGGGACAAAGGGGTACTGCGTCTGGTTCGGTGGAATCACACCATCCACAAATTACCGAAGAAGCGAAGCCTGATGTAGAGTTCGGCTTCACAGCGACCCAGTTTTACTCGCTGCTAGAAAAGCATTCCATAACCGGTACTAATCATGGCACCTTTCACTAGCTTCTCGTATAAATTACACATTTTAATGGAATTGTTACTCTTTTCTCCGGCATCTATATAGGCCGCAGACTGCTGCGTGTCAGTGTGAGCTGAAGCAATGAAATGGTAAAGGATGTGCTGCGAAATTTTTAGTCTGTCAAAGTTCTGCTTATGAAAACTGAAAAAATGTTTTTGATGCAACTCGATGAGGTGCTGGAATTTCGCTCTCTCACCTTTCCTGCGTTTGCACCTCAAAAGCTTAACCTAACAAAAGCTGAAAAGTTCACTTCGCACATTGGTAACTTATACAGCTAGGAAGCTGGGGGAAATCCTCTATTTTTGCCTTGGATCGAATATTTTTTCTCCTCAGAGCGCCGACTTTATGCTCATCGGCAAATATCGTACTAGGCAGGCAGTGGAGGAGCGGTGGCCCGAAGGCAGTCCAAATTGAACCTTGATTCCAAAGTAGGCAGATACAGTTTTTAGCCCCATCTTAGAAGTATCTTATGTGCCTTTCCACAGAATCACTCTTCAGTACTTCTGCTGCATCCATGGATAAAAATTAGATTTCTGAGAATTTCTTCTTTTGCTGAACGCTCACAGAGATGCGATTTTAAGGGATGCATCGGATGTGGTCTGATGCAATGGGTGGCTCGAATGAACAGATTGATTTGAGTGACATCCATACGGTTCCTGATGGTACGAAGGATATCGAGAGGATTTCACATATGTAAGGGATTTCTCTGTTTCTTGATTCTGAAACTGTGGCGGTTAATTTTCTCATGGAACTCGATGAGACAGTTCGAGAATCGGTTTTGAGGCCATATCGGTTGAGAACAGTAGCGAGATACAGAGTATGTTGATTAGAAAGGGGGAATTCTGTGCCGCTTTTGGTCCTGCAAAGCATGTGTTAGTGTGAATCACTAGAAATTTGTACAGGCGACTGGCTTTTAAAAATCGTTCGAGGCTGACTGCAGTGAGAGGCTTCTTGCGCCTGTGGATAGTCATCATCGCATGAGGGAGCAGAGATTAGGAAGGGGGAAGTTATATGAGGCCTACAGCGACGATACGTTATGCGAAAATCCAGTGGCTTTCAGAAGCCTGAGACTGAGCATGCCGCAGTACCTAAAGGCTCCAGTTCCGGAAGAGAAGCCAAAGTGTAATTTCCCTTCAGCAGAGGGAAGGATGCGCAGGCCATTCTTATTTGGGAGTTGATAGGTTGTTGAAGTCTTTGGCAGTGCAGTAAAAGTCACCCGAGGGATGGTGCTGAAAAAGATGCGGGCCAGTGCTTACATTTTTTCTTGAGCTTACCCCGTGGTGCTGAAGTCCATCCAGCTGTAGCTCCACTGGACTTTCCTGTTATTAGCCAGTAACTGTCTCTGATTCTCACCTGATCTGTTTGGCCTTTTGGAAGAGCTCATTCTTTGCGTACGAGTTCTACAAACTAACATGCAACGTCTTTCGGTTATCAAAATAGCAAACAGTCTGCACTGCGAGACAAATTTTGTTTTTTTT